GCCATCTCCTGTTTGACCACCTCCAGCTTCCCAAGGTTCATAGATCTTACATTCCAGGTTCCTATGCAGTATTTTTCTTTTCAGCATCGGACTTTCCTTTCACTTCCAGGCACGTCCACAGCTGAGCGCCCAGCAGGAAACCCAAATTATTTGGATCAATTGACTGCCATTGTGAGCTGGTAAAGGAAAATGTAGTGTCTAGCATGCTGGCTTGGGCCGGTGCAACATGAGATGGAAAAAGAAAGAGTAGAAAAGGGACAAAATATGTACCCAAAGACCACCAGGTCAACATGGAATTTCTGTCCGTAACCGCAAATTAGAAGACTTTACCTTAAACAAACTATTTCTAACAGTTTACACTCCTGTTTGGATTCAGTATATTGTAAAGTTAATGTGAGTCAACCTGAGACTCAAGCCTGTGTATTAAAAACCATGCTTCCTCAAACGTCTTGTATTATATAAATGGAACTTCCAGGCACGTCCACAGCTGAGCGTCCAGTTAATGTGAGTCAACCACGAACCCTTCCAGATAAACTGTTGTTTTTTATTGACATGTGTTGGAACTGTGGTCCCTCTCTCCCATTGATCTGGATTTACTCATGCCAAACTTCCATATTTGCAGGAGGTTTTCCTGCGTTTTATTCCAGGCAGAGTTTCCACACAACACATTTTCTGCCTTCCTCTTCTCCTGCTCTTTTTCTCCCTATTCTCCATCCTGTCTCCACCTCTTTTCTGTTTCCCTATCTTGATGTTGCCTGATTTGGTAGTGGAAAATTCCATTTTGTAAACAATGGAATGTTGGTTTCTTCCTAACATGGAGAAAATGTCTGCAGAGTTTGAAAGAAAGTTTAGATTCATTAGTTATTTGTTCGGTAAAACAACATGTTACATTTATCTTGCCAGGTATGAAGCAGAGGGCAAAAGGCAGCTGTGTTGGTGTGAAAGCCCCTATTCAGAGTCAGCCAGAGGTGGCCCTGCTCTGTACTGAGGAGAACATACCCACAGTTTACATAACAAATGACATCAGGGAGAGTTCTAATTGTACACACACTCATAGGACTGGTGCTTGTACAAGACATAGAAGAGAATAACTGATCTAGAAAAACCTAGACTGCAGTAAACAAAACCAATTTCTCAGCAAGGCAAAATAACCCTGAAAATGAAAGGAAGTTCTGTTAAACTAATCCAAATCAATGGACAGAAGCAAATAGGATCTGTGAATAAGCTCAATATGGTGATGTGGGGAAATCGGATTTCTCTCCAATGACAAATCAGGTTTGTAGCTGCATTTAAAGGAAATAATCGAGGGAGAAAGAATAGATGATGAACCATGGCTTGGAAAAGTTACTCTTTTGAACTGCAGTTTCCAGAGACCCTGAAATTCTGGACTTTGTTGTCCAAAAGAATATTTCTTTTTCCAACTTCTGCCAGTAATGTCATTGTCCCTTTTAATTACAATTCCCTGGTTACAATAATGACAGGCACATTAAAAGAAAAACTCTAATTCTTGGCAATTTTCAGAGTCTTACTGCATGGTGACTCCTAACAAGACTTCTTCATGCAAGTCTACAAAGTGCTTCAAGTATTTGGGAATTACAATGACATGAATCTTTATTGTTATTATAATTGTTACTATCTTCTGCAACTGCTAGTATGACTACAACTACTACTGCTACTGCTGCTAGATGTTATTATAATTGTTACTATCTTCTGCAAGTGCTAGTATGACTACAATTACGTACTTCTGCTACTGCTGCTACTAGTAGCAGGCAGTGTTACGTGTGAAATGTGTTTGCTAGAGATAGGGGTATATTTTCCTTCCAATCACTCCTGGGGCCCCCTCTCTTCCTTCCAACCACTCCCAGAGCCATGCTCAGATAGCAACTCATCAGCCTTGCAGAGAGACTCGTCCTCCCTCCCATTGCCAGGAGTGGCTAGCCAAACTGGGCTCCGGGAGTGATTGGAAGGAAGAGAGGGCTCACCGCCACTAGTGGACACATGAGTCTGGCCCCAGGGGCTGGACCCTCATTAAGTACAACTGTGTGGAGGTATTTGTGTTCATATATATGAATGCAAATAATCCCATCTCTAGTGTTTGCGTAAAAGCAAAGGAATTGTTGTGTTTTCCAGGGAAGAAGAAATGCTGGATTCCAGATGAAAAGCAGGCTTATATTGAAGCAGAGGTGAAAGAGAGTGCTGGTGGCAAAGTCACTGTTGAGACTACAGATGGGAGGGTAAGTAACCCCGCCCTGTTTGATTAGTAAGTAGAGTAAAACATAACAGATACAATGCAGACAGAGAGTTGTTCCTGAATACAAACTTAGGATCAAACTGCATCTTAAACAGAAGGAAGTCACAATCCAAGGCAGTAACACAAGACAGAACAGCATACACTCTTGACATTTCCACCTGGTTTCACTGTATGTGATCCTCTTACCGAAGAGACAAGCTAATTCTAAAACTGACCAGAGGTTTTTGCTTTCAGTAGTAGGCAACAGTAGGAAACACAGCTGACAAAGATCCAGTTATATATGCCATTCTCTTCCCCACCCATATCCTACTCTGAAGCCTTGGCAGAGGTGAGGGTTACCAGATAGTCTGTGAAATACTATTGAATATACATTTTGTGTTAATAGGTGAATAGGTGCATTTGATGGCCTTTTCAGTATTGTGAAAGCAGAGGGTCCCCTTAGCTATCATATTTTCATGGCAGTCAAGCTACCTGCACAGACACTTATCTGAAGGGAGATACTGGCTCACACTGATGACCTTTCCTTGTGATCTTGCCTAGCTTGTGATCATCATGGCAACCTCAAACAATTGCAAAAGCAGTTTGTAGGGACACTGAATATATGGGATGGGGTGGGGGGAAACACACCATTGGGCTCACCTACAGCAGACCAATTTAAATTACTGCACTTGTTTATTGTGAGTCATGTAAGTTCTATGGATATCAATGGTCCTGGAGCTAGTACTGGATTTAACTCAGAAGCCAAAATCCTGTTGTATGATTAGATTAGCAGAAGAGAAATGGTGTAACTTGCACTGGCAAATTATTGCTAATTAGCAAACTTTGATTCCTCATTGTACACAGTCAGGCAGCTTGTACAAAAAGTAGTAGTAAGGATTTGCTAATAAGTGGCAGTTTGCCGCTTCCCTTCCACCAGCATAACTGCTAACAGAATTCGGGCCATTGAATATTCAGTAATGTGAAAAAGAAAGTACACCCTCTTTGAATTCTATAGTTTTATGTATCAGGGCATAAGAAATATCATCTGGGCCTTAGTAGGTCTGAAAATTAGGTCAATACAACCTCAAATGAACAAAAACACATGACATATTACACCATGTCATGATTTATTTAACAAAAATAAAGCGAAAATGGAGAAGCCATGTGTTTATTTTTTTTAAATTTATTGTTTAGTTAATATATATCCTGCTTTTCTCCCACCAAAGGGACACAAGACAACGTAGAAGTTTTAAAAAGTAGTTTAAAATTACAATAAATCAAGACATTAGCATTAAAATAAGATTAAACCAACATATTTTTAAAAACACCAACGCACAAGCCAAAATACATTAAACCAGCCTTAAAATGCCACTAAATGCACCTCTCCTGAAGAACTGAAAGACCAGGGGGATTATAGGAGGAGATATGGTCCTTCAGATAGCCTGGACCCACACCATATAGGGCTTTATATTGTAAGTCATAACCACCACTTTGAGTTGAGCCAAGAAACAGAATGACAGATTCTAACAGGGGAGAGATAAGATCCCTGTAACCAGTTCCAGTCAGCAATTTACAGTAACTGGAGCATTTAGTCAGAGTGTAAACATACAATGCTGAAATAACAAGCACACAAACAGTAACAGCAGCAGCAATGAGAGATGAAGATTTTAGCCATTATTTCAGCTTACTGTTAAGTTTTTAAAGTTCTTGTTTTCTGTAGACTAGGCTTATCCAATCTGAAGCACTGCAGATGCATTCATGTGGGGAAAAATTGCTTTATACAATTCCTGGTTTATATTTTTCTTTGAATGTGAACCACCTTCAAGTAAACCCTTTCTTCAGTTCTTTGCTGGGAAAATGTGATGGCTTTTAATTACAGTTCTCAATGTTTTACCACATGATTTGCCTTTTTCCTTTGAAATAGCCATCATTATTCGTGCTGTCTGAAAACCATGGATGCTATTGTTTATAACAGTGGGTGGCACTAGGCAACACATTTAAACAGTTTCAAGATGTGTTTTAATTTCTTTTCCTATTTATAGGTTTTCCCAAGGGTCTATAATTTCAGTGTGGTGAGAATCATTCAAAATTTCTTTCTCACTTGTTGGCAGTCTGTTTTTGAAAATAATCTTCAATATTGGTTTATACAGTAAAATAATGGGAGTGGAAAGTCTGCAGCTTCAGTGTTCTCCTTTCTCCCACTCCCAGACAGTGACTGTGAAGGAAGACGATGTTCAGTCTATGAACCCTCCAAAATTTGACATGATTGAAGATATGGCCATGCTAACCCATCTCAATGAGGCCTCTGTGCTACACAATTTGAACAGACGCTACACTAACTGGATGATCTATGTAAGAGTCATTTACTGCTTTTTAATTTTAAATTTAAATTCAAAATTAATCTTAAAACATATAGGTTGGATTGCATCTTCTTCAGAAAACATTTCTGCCACCTATCAAAATGCATGTCCCACAATAGTTATCATTTTGGAAGCATGGCTAGAGTGTGACTGTGTTGCTGTATACTCATGTAATTACATTGTAATATACTCATGTAATTACTACAACATTACTGTAAATGTGGGGAAAATTTACACTTTTCTTTAAGGAATCATTTCTTTTTGAACACCTGTTGGGAGGTTATTTATTTTAAATCACTCTATATTGTGCTGGGTTTTTAAAGCCATTTTTGGTTGTGTGAATGGCCATATTGTTGTATTCTATGCACAGGGGCATTCTGTGTGCTGATGTTGTGCTGTGCTGTGCTGTGTTTGAGATAGTGCAGGATTTCGCCATCGAGAAGTCATGCCAGCTATCCAAACTATTTCCCTTTCCTTTTTTAAAAATAAACCATTTGACTTTAGCGCTATATCACATAGGTGCTAAAGTCTTTCTGTCTACAGCATTGATGAAACACTATGCCACTTAGAAAAAAAAAGAAAAAAATGAACTTGGACAAGATGGTTGTGGACAAGGACAGAATGGAGGCAGTGACAGGACAGAACTGTAGATGAATTAAAGTGCCAACCACAGGTGTCTTTATAGCCATTTAAAGAGCTGCGTAGTCCCCTGCAATGAATCAACCCAGTTCAATTGATGCTGCCCCATGAAGATGGAGACA